CTCAAGTTGAAACTCGAACTATTTATGTACAGAATTTAAATACAATACTTTAATTTCATACTTTTCCCTTTTAGCTAGAGAGTTGTGGGTGGTTTTTTTTCTCCGAGCTGAACGCTATAATTAGGGAACCCTGCCGCTTCTACCAAGCAACCAACTTCATTCGAAGGGGATGCTGCCTGCCAGTTTCAAAGCCTTGGCGATGGCACAAATCGTTGTTGCCGCTCTAAGCGCTCCCCAATCTTATTGTCGGCTACTTTTGCACAAGACAGTGAAATGATGACTCCCACAAAGCATCCGATCTCTTGACATGCCGGTTACCGGGCTTTCCCAACGGCGCTTTTCCGCCACAGTTGTTCGCTCGCTCATCAAATTGAGTTAGCAAAATTACTATAATTTTGTGGGAAATTTTGTGGGTCAGATTTTAGCTGTTGACAATGCAGCGGCGACGAAAATATAAAATTTCGGCTATAGCAGAGGCGCTGACCGCAGCGTATTTTTATTTTAATACAATTTTTGTTTTACTAATTTGCTTAATTAGCGTGCCTTATATATTCGTCACTGTGGGGCCGTTTTTTACACGATTTAATTGGGTCTATGGCTTAAGTTTTATTTATTTTATTTGTTGCTTTTCTGTTTTCCATTTCGGTAATTTCAGTGAGCACTTTTATTTTTTTTTTGCATTTCTCTCACGTTTTGGGTACAAATTTATAGCGCGGCATGAGAGCGCAGCAAACAAGGCATCGAATGAAGCAATACGTCGCTCAAACCGAGGGCTATTAATGTTGAAAACGTGATGCGCGGCGTTTTGTGTAACTCGCCGTGAGAACTCGGATAGACTGTAATCCATGGAGTTGAGTTGAGTTTCGTTTTGTTTCAAAGACAGCAATGAACTAAACTGCAAAATACAAATGTACACAGACATGTAGTTGTAGTATAGTTTAGTGTCTATAGATTGATCACCAGTTTTTTCTTTTGTTCCTTTTTTTTCGTATTATCCACATACACATTAATCATGCAATGGCCTGGCCTTCACAGTGTGAAATTGTAGCAATCGTTGAATGTGGATTGAGCGATGTAGATAGCTGTGGTCGGAAGCCCTTGAACCACATCCACATGCCGGACGTGTCTCAATTAGCGCTGTCCGATGAAGTAAGATGACGGGAAGAAGAAAAGCTTCCACTAACACATTGTTAATATCAAAAATATTTGAGTTTTCAACAATATATTTGATGAGGATTGTCAAAGAATTGTGCAGCTTTACTTCACCCTCATCTTCCTCAGCGTTAGCAACAACATTTAAGCAATTCTATTCGACATCTTTGGACGATATAAATGTTTTAATTCAGATGCCCAAAAACATATTGGTGATATCACAACTGAAGTATAGCTTTTATCGTATCTCTTGTCCAAACATCTTCAAACTCACTCCAACATTTTTGATCTTCTTCATACACAGAGTATGACACAAAACGCTTGAAAATTGTATTGTTCATACAAAATGTTCACCGTAATCAATTTCATTGATTCATGATTATCAGGCAGCCCACGCCTCCGGTAAATCAGATGAATGAATGCGTGAAGTCAGGAATGGGTCGACGATGAAACTCCAGAAAATGTATGTCTTGTGCATCGCTCTGCCTATGAGCCATCATCTGTCAATTAGTCCATTAGCATGTGTGACCTTAAAGCTGCAAATATCCGCAGGGCTAATTGCTTATGCGAAGCGCATAACCTTGCCGACTCTTAACGTATTGCTCTGCCGTGCATTGACATTTGCCAGAGATGTGTACCCTTCCAGTTGATGGTTGACTTACCTTCTTACAGCCTCAGCGAGTCGGAGAGTCAGTCGGATAAAGACAACTTTCATCATTTTCTATATGAAGCGGCAGTTAGGCTGCCGGTTGGCTTAATTGAAAAATTCACCGTAAAGCCAACAAGCAGCAGCGGCTAGAAAACGACAGCTGCTGTGGATAAGTAGGAAAAGGCACATGAAAAGAAAACACATTAAAATAATGTAATTATTTTTCTCGACCAGATTTTTATTTTATACATTTTTTTCATCTTCTTTTTATTTCTCTCTGTACTCCAGAGTTGGGGTTTTCTTTGCTTTTTAAGCGATTTATTTCATAGCTGCCTTTTGCTTGAGATTTCCGCATGCTTTTTCAACCGTGAACAAGCACGAACTTTCATTTTGAAATTCTCGAAGCGTGTTGCGCACACTCAACGCCCTCAAACGCCCCAGCCCGCGGCCCATTTCGAGTGTCAATTTGTCGAGTTCTGCATTAAAATGAGACCAAGTCGAAACTACACTGCCTGAACAACTGTTGCTGTTGCTATTACCTCCCAGCTCATCATCATCAGTTCTCGCACACCCACCCAGTCAACAGCTAACTGCTTCACGGTTTTGCGCTTTGGGTTTTTCTGTAGAAATTTTCATGGTTGCCAGCTTAGCTTAATTCTAACTTTTCCTCTGCTTCCCAACGTGCTTAGAAATGGAAACAGAAAAGCATCATGACACCACAAAAAAGTAATATATACACATACGTATGTATGTATGTATGTATGTATGTGTATACTATATGAGACCAGCATGCATGTAATTTACTAATTGAAATTCGTAGAAAGTTTTGCTGTTGTTTTTATTGTTGTTGTTGTTGTTGTTACAGAAACCTTTCCTGTCACTTTGATTTGCTAGACTTTCGAAATGCTAAGCTCTGCTTATCCAGAAATAAAAAGAGGCACTGTCCTCATTATAAGTTTATAAGGGCACTATTTGTATGATAAGCCATTTGACATCGCCATAAATTATGTCTAAATACTCGTATATAACACTTGTAAAAAGATGGCCAGGATGTGTTTTTTAGAAGGTCCTGAATCGAGCAAAAGACAGACTACAGAACCTATCTAATCGCCTTGTCAATTGATTATAATCATAGTGTAATCTTTTATTATAATTGTTTTATTTCTATTTGTTATATGATCCTCCCTTGTAGTCGTTATTCTTTTAAATATTTACTTCTCGAAGTTAGAATCGCTTCTATATTTGGAACCGAAGTTCGTTTTGAAGTTCCTTTAGCTGATTCTTTTTATGTTACATTCACGGAAAATGAACTTTACTGAAATAAAAATGAGCTCATTCTTAAAATGTTGTGTTCCCATGAGACTCAGATTAGATTTGTTGCCATTTTAGGATTCACACGATTTCTGTCAACTGTCAAAATTAGGTCTTGTCTCAAACATCTGTTGCAATTAAATGAATTTCATATTTATTGGTGGCAAAAAAATAATAACAAATTGAACAAAATGTACGCTTAGTTTGGTTCCTTTCTCCTTGCTCGTTGGTGGACAACCAGTTATTTGGGTGAAGGTTATCGAGTGGCCCAACGGGTCGACTCCTTTGACACTTCATAATGCAATCCCAACAGTCCAGACCACGCCTGTAACTGCGCCCTTTCCAGTTTTCGCTTCCATCTCTCGTTGCTTCTTTAATGATGACTTCGCTTAGCACTGTTGACGTCTACGTTGTCTTTCTTCTTTTTTTTTTTGCTGGATTGCGTAAGCAGCCGTCTCTGAGACTTTCTTTTCGGAATGGGTCTGTGCGGCTGTAAAGCGATTGAGATGAGGGTACGAATATAGAAATGTGTATAATCTCGTCGCAAAACTTTATTGTTGGCCTCGGCCTGCCATTATCATTACAAACAATTAAAATTGTAAACTTTTCGTTATTGTTGTTGCTGTTGATGATGTGTTTTCCGAAACGATTTGCATGAATTATCGCTCTACTGTGAAGCGAATTATCAGCGGCAGCGACGTCTGTAAAATCCATATTTTACGAAACAAAAAACGCGAAGAAACAGCAGCTGTAAATATAATTTTTGTGTAGTATGTAAATCTAATTAACATATAAGCGGATTTAAGAGCAACGTCATTGTATGTACGCGAAACACACAATCACGCACACACACATATTCTTCCACAGAATACGAAAGAATTATAGTATGTATGAAGTAAGAAATAAGGCAAAACTCACGCGATCGTATTTACGAGCAAACACTAAGTATGTATATACTTACATATATACTCGCATTTGCAATTTGATTTATAAAGAAATACGCGCACTTTATATGTAAAATAGCAGTACTAAATAATGAATATAAAATAATGGCCATGCACAGTAGTACAGTGTCCTAAAAATTCAAATATGTAGGACAGTTCAGATTTATAAACAGTGTGAATATTTAATAGTAAATTGTTGTGTTTTTTTTAAAGTAATAATGGACAAATGCATTTATGAAGATTAATAATAGAGAAATATTTATTAAATCATATGTAAAAGATATTACAAAGAATACTAATAAAGATCTATTTCAGAAAATAGTATAGTATTTCCAACTCTGATAAAAATATCTACAACTCTAATAGAATTTTTCTCATTTTGAATGAAAGACATAAGTAATAATTTCAAATGAAAATCTCTTTATTTTTATGAAGTAATCTTAGTAAAGCAAAAGGCCTTACAAAATCGTCTTGGCACAGACTAATTTTTCAGTCAAATTTAAGTACCTTTTTTCTAAATGTAGACTTTTGCGAAATGCCATATTTTAAACCTAAAAAATATGTTATCAAATGTGAAGAAAAGTTTTCTATTTGTATTGTGTGTCGATATTTTGATGTTTGGTTTTCTCAATCTCTGAACCACTGTGCAGTGCGTGATTTAATCTAATATTTTATATTCTGTATTTTGCGTATGTGTGTGCCTATGTACATATATACTTATGTATACATCATCGTCATCGACACTATATTGCTGACCAAACGCGAACAATTTAAAGCTTTGAACAGTGCACCAAAGCAGTTTGCCAAATTCGGAAACACGGAAACCGAACAAACAAAGTTGAAAGTTAAAAACGAAAATCACGAAATGCGAAAATCTTAATAGATGCTCTGTCTATATTTTTGGGTTGTCTGCGAATCCTCTATTTTATCTGTTGCTCTTTTTATTTTGTGTTTAGAAGAAAGTTAGATTTCAACCAAAAAAAAAAGTGAAAGAAGAGTGCAAAGAGAAATAAAAATAAAAACCAAACTTAGCAAAATTTTAAATCTGTACACAAATAAGAGAAAAAAAATTAGCAACAACATAACGAGTCGAGCAAGGGCAGTGAACAGAAAATAAAAAGCAAAAGTGACGGTGAATAATGTTGAGAGCGCCTACACAGCATATTGTGGAACTTGGTTTCGGCTCGAAAAACGTGGCAGTGGCAGCAGCAGCGACGACAACAACAACAACCGTAGCGGCAGCAGGCACAACAACAATTGCCGGCGGCAAATCGGCAACGACAGCAACAACGCGTAAAACTTTGTTGCAAAAACTCAAACAGCAACAGCAAAAGTTGCAAAGACAATTGACAACAACACAGCAAACAGCGACAACAACAACAACAGCAACAATAACTGCGTTGAGTGCGCAGAAATATCAGACAAATGAGACGACGGCAGCAGCAGCAGCAGCAGCAGGAACAACAACAACAAAAGCAGATTATTATTTTAAGCAGCAAACAACGGCATATCAACTGCAGCAGCAGCAGCAGCAGCAACAGCAACAACAAATCGCAGCTGCTGCAACGAATGGCAAGTGTTTGTTGTTTTTATCAGCAGCAGCAACGGCAGCAGCAACAACAACAACAACACCAACAAGTGGGTATTTAACGTCGGAGCAGACGCAGAAAAAGAAAAAGCATAGCTACAACATTGCTGCGGCTCTGATGCGCACTAAAAAACCAAAAACAACAGCGCCAACATTATCAGCAGCAACAAAAATAACAACAACAACAACAACAACTGAAACTGCTCAGAAGTTACTGCCAAAGGCAATAGAGAGTAACGAGAGCAGCAACAGCTTCAGCAGCGACGACAACAACAGCAGCACACACAGCAGCAGCGACCACAGTTTGTCTAATACCTGCATTAACAACACCAGCAACAACAGCAGCAGCAACAACAACAATAACACTCATTATAAAAACAGTAAAAACAACAACTACATAAGTAATTACAATTGCAAAACAATTGCGGCAAAAAGTGAACAGCAACAGGAGGAAGTGTTTAAAAAAGTACCAGTAATAAAAAAACAGCGTACAACAACAATACAACATCAGCAACAACTACTACTCAACAAAATCCACAGTAGTGGGCGTTTCTATAATAACAGCAGCGACCATCTCATCATGTCACCCACTTCGCAGGCGCCCACCCGCACCTCCCTCTTCGATTCTTGCCATCGCAAGATACGATTAATTGGCGGCGGCCCAGTTGCCTTTCTAGGCGGTTTAGTTGCGTAAGTTCACATTTTATTTACCATTTCTAAATACACACACACACACGCACACTTGTGTGTATGTGCATATAATATATACCACACTCGTTTAAAATTAGCATAACGTGAATTGAGGGGACTCCAAAAAAAACACACACACTCACACAAATTGTATGACAAACAAACCAGTAAGAAGATATTTAATTTCTCTATGAATGCATAATTTATTTAAAAACTAACGTACGTAAAAGAGTTTACAGAACTTGGCAAGGATATATCAAGGAACTGTATTGAGTCGTTTGTTTGTACTTTCTTAGACGTTTAGGCAAGTTTCGCATAATATCGTCCTATTTTTGAATGACTTGCATTTGGACAGATAATCAAATATCTATATAAACATGTATGCCCGCCATATATAAAAAGATCTTAATTATTAAGTCAAGATAAGAGATTAGGCAGAGTTTATTATTTTGTTACTGATCACGAATAGTATAATTGTCTTAACATTATTTTGTTCGCAGTTTTAAAGAATTCTAGTTAATTTAAAAAAAAAAATAATTAAAAGGGCTATTTATACAATTTCAACTTAATCACACCATTAGCTCACTCGTGTAAAAGTCGTTTAATCAATTAGTGGAATGATTATTTACTTAAATGTTGATTCAATGTCTCGTTAAAATAAACCAGTTTTCTCCCTCCCTTTCCTCTTTTTAAATAGAATACGGATTTTCTGATCAATTTTGAAGCTCTAATTTCTATTTGTGATTTATAATTTTAAAACCCACCTAAAGTTGGTTTGTTTGCTTTTTGTTAGCAAGATTTTCTGTTAATACCATTCTGTTTTACTATCACTTTTTGAGTTTTCGCAAATTTTAAAACTCTAAATGTTTGACATTATAATTATGGCCGCAACGTGTATAGACTTTCACAATAGTGTGTTCTGTCTTGTGCGGCCTTATCTTTTATTTCTTTAATTACATGCTATTTATCATTTCTCAGTGGCTGGCTTTTGGTGCAGCATTTAAACTCCAAAAACTGCTTTGGAGTGCAGATTCAAGGTTTGTGCGGCAATTAAAATATCAAAATGGTTGGAAAAAGACACAAAAGCTAATGTGGCTTTTGAAATGAACGTAAACAATTTATGCATAGGCCTATAATTCACAGATAATACGATCGTACATACATACATACATACATACATTTGTGTTCATATGTATGTACATTCGTGTAGAGTAGAAGGAGGTCAGTGGCAAGTTAACAGCGCTCTGTTAATCCGCTGTTACGCAACAGCTTACTTATGCGGCATTTAATAATGCGTGCGTGCGTGTGTGTGTGTTTGTGTGCTTATTTATTTTTGTACGGAAAGATTTCCTTATTTGCTTTAATTAGAACACATTAAGGCTGCCCAAATATAAGCGACAGTAGGAATTTATATTTAAGCAAGCTCGTCGTTTTAAAATAAAGTTAAATGAACTCAATTGTCAAAGTGAAAAGAACAAAGAGTCGACACTCTCTTGCTGCTGCCTCTGTCAACACCAACGCACACACACACACACACACACAACACACAACTGAACATTCACAAAGTGCGCTGAACTGATAATTAGTTAGAAAACTAAATATTGACAGAAGTGAACATTGATAAACACACACCACAAATACTACAAAGGGACAGGTAATAAGAAGAAGGTTGAAGAAACGGGAGGCACGTTTCATATTTTAGCTGCAACTTTTGGGGCCTTCTTCGCACTTACATACATACATACATACTTGTACATATAAACGAGTATGTAAAGTAGGCTTTGTAGCCCGTCTGCGTATAAAACAATGACTAACTGTATATACATACTTGTACATATGTGTGTATGGGTGAAGCGTATGAAGAAGCAGCACAAAAGCACGCATTTGTATTGCAGGAAGATGAGGCAGAAATATAAATGATGATAAACCTGTCAAGCAAACCGAACGCAGAGCTCAGAACACTAAGCACAAAGTGTCAATGGCAACAACCACCAGCCAGTCAGACATTCTGTCAGTCAGTCAGTCACTTAGTCAAGAGAAGAAGCAAACGAAGCAAAGCTAAGCAAATGCCAAGACAGAGAATAGATATTTGCATAATAATGGCTATGATTTCTTTCCTTGTCTTCCTCAAGAAGTTCAAATTTAAATAAAAAAAAATTATGTAAACAAATATCACGCATACTATACTCGTACAACAACAAAAAAATATGAAAGGAAATTATAATAAATGACTCATATTGTTCAGCACAGTGGGCTCGTCAAAATGTAGAGTCGAGTCTGCCAGTCGAAACCAGAGTCCGAATCGGGCAATTCCATATTGTTTGCTACTAACTGTACCTCTCTAGCTAATTGAATGCCGCGAAGCGGAACAGCCATAGCCAGCCATTCGAATATAGATCGTTGACCAAACTTAGCTTAACTTAGTTGGCTAATAAGCAACAAGAAAGCGAAGATAGATTGCTAAAATAAATAAATCACTTTTACTTTGTCTTGCCGAAAATGTCTTGGTTATGAATTACTAAGCCAACAGCAGGAAATAGCGGCATACAAGTAGTAACGAGATATATCTCCAGTTGTAGAATTGCTAATCAAACATGTTAATTAAAAATGCAAATGAAATTTGTAAATTATTTGATTAGAAATTCTGGAAAATGTTAAGTGTTCTTCACTATCTCAGCAGCTGCAAACGTTATTCTATGAATGCAGATGCTGTCAACCAGAGAGATACAACTTTTGTCTGTTTTGTATCTTTAAACTAGTTACTGATCAATATTAATAAATGTTTTAAGAGTGGCTTAGCCAATGGAATAAGTTCTGCTTGTATCCTGGGTAGTCCTGTAGTGGCTGCTCTCCCTCTCTCTTTTTCTCTCCTACAAGACTTACTTGGGACTGACTTAAGTGGACTTGAACTGAGACATATGTTATTTATATTGGTTGCTGTTGCTTTTACTTTACTTGCACTTTTAGTATGTCTGTTCGTACCTACCTACTACCTCCCTATATATAACTACCTACATTAGCAATATTGTTGGTCTTGTTGTGGTCAAACGACTTTCTTAACGATTTCTGTCTGGCTTGGTAACTTGACGTACTGGTTGCCCTTTTCCCACTGCTCTGTTTCAGATGTGAGAGGCTGTTATGCCAGCTGGGGCCTTCTGGTTTTCTTCAGACGCTGGCTAACGTTTTTATTTCCTGTTCCAATTTATATTATTCAGACAAATTTGAAATATGATTTAGAGGCAAATTTTAAAAGCCGTTTCAACGGTTTCACTCAAAATGTAGTGAAAACAAAGATTCTACAATTTATTGTGAGGCACTTTTGTAATATAGTATGTGTGCATTTCTACTCTGAAGGTAGTCCACATATTCCAGTAATGAGCAGGTCAGCAACCTCGTACGAGTAGTTAACCAACTAACAGATGTCTTAACTTGTTAGCCCACAAACCTTGGGCTCGTATTTCCAAGGAAAGCAAAAAGCCACCTGCCTGCCTGTCTGCCTGTATCCGCACACACTATATTCCATTGACATTTTGCGTGCGCAGTGGACCAAAAAATGACTGCGCCAGCTGTTGAAGGCACCACAATAGCCTCGGACTACAGTAAGGGTATAAAAAGGTACAAATTAATCGAGTCAGAAGGCATGCTGACAAGGTATACGAATTACATTAAAAGTGTCTGCTCTTATCACAGCCAAGAAACAACACCTTCAATAGTATATCACAGACTGCCAGATTCTCGTGTGTAGCAAGTATTTAACGCAGTTATGGTTTTGACTTAATTGCTGTGGAGATAAGTAAGCTTTGAGCTTATTGTTCCAATGTTGCGAAAGCCGTTGTCAAATGTGTGTAATTACACACAAACAATTACCAAAGCAGAAGCACAAGATTCTCTCACCCCTCACACCTAATGGGAAAAGCTGGTACCCACAACTTTGTTAGCGGTAGCGTTAGTGGCGCAGATGCTGACTATAATTATTTGTCCATTAGTCGTGGCAACTGTCGGAAATTGGGGACACGAGCACTGGACGCCTCAGTTGCTTGGGGGCCAATGACAAAGCGCCAGAGGTCAACGAAAATTTCCAAGAATCCACTAGGCGAGCTAGCAAAAAAAAAAAAAGAAGTAATAATAAACATGAAAATGGAGTGCAGTTTAAAACCACTGCCAACGGAATAAGTCCGCCGGACTTGAAGTTAAATGCACGCATCTTGTTCCTAAGCCTATGATTAAAAACTGTGTTAAGAAAGCTTTTCCCATTCAACAATTATTCGTAATGAAGTTTTCCAGAATTTAATTACTTGTAGGTTGTGAAAGGAGGCTTTGTAATTTTAAGATTCTCAAACATATTGGATTCATTTCTAGTACATAATTCTGATGCTTATATATCATATGATATCGTTTCAATCATATTATATTTAAAGGGTTGACTGAGACTTTCCTTTTCAGACTGGCATAGCTAGGTCGTACCTTTAACTTTAAGGTGTGCAGTTAAAGACAAGGTGAACAATTAGGGAATTCCTCGACTAAACTGAATAACTATTTTTCGACAATGATTATTGATTTATTTAGGCGCCTTCATTATGCGAGTTGAGCAATCAAAAATGGGAATGGAGCCTAATCGTACGTTTCGAGGCAACCCAGCACTTACCTAGTTTAACAAACCGAGTGCAAACACTCGCTTACCTTGCCATCGTTTTGGGAGCGCACGTGTGCCAAGCACCTAACAGGTGATACACTTTGACACACACACACATACATAGGCAGTGTGTGTACATACAAATGGACATTAACTGTCGGCATCTTAGTGCTCCCCGAGGCCCGCCAGGTATACACAGACAAAACACATTCAAAGTTCATTAAAACAAAAGTGTAATTTGGCTTCATTTTTATGAACTGTCAACCCGCTGTGGTGGGGTGCGGAGCGGCGTCTGCGTCTTACAGTAATTGCTTTGCACTCATTAAAACAACAACAGTGGCAACAATATCAAATGGAAAAAAAAGAA